GCACCAGCTCCGCCGCGTGGCACATTCCAACACAATTCAAAGTTAACCATGGATCGAACGTCCGCAAGTGTACGGCTCCGTGACAGCTCTTACCATGGCAATGTAGTCGAGGCCATCCGAGCAGTTGAACACGACGCACTGCTTGGCAAGGGCCTTGGCCAGATCTTTGGTGGTCTCCGTCTTTCCCGTACCCGCGGGGCCTGCGGGGGCGCCTCCCAGGTTCATGTGCATTGCGCTCATGAGCGTCATGTAGCACCTGTCCGTCAGCGGCGTGATCACCAGGCGCGGGCTGTTGCCCAGGTACTCGTAGCCGTAGGCGATGCTGGCCTGCACCATGTCCACGAAGACGTCGTCTCTCCAGTAGTACCTCAGTTGAGACACCCACTCGAAATCCGTGGGCTTGCTGATGCCTGAATGCGCCACGATAGCATCCAGTCAGCCACATCCACATCGATTCAATGGTTGAATCAGATTGAATTTCAATCTCATTGATCATGCCGCATTCGTACGGGTAAATGTTTTTCAAGTGTAACAGTCTCCATAAAGAGGGACACGATGTCACTTTTTCCGGAATATGGTGACCCAAGATAGGATCCGGGGATGTGCAGGGGGTATTTCAGACACAGCTAGTTAGCTGTGTCTAATTGTCTAATTGCTTATAAGCAAGGATCATCAATACCTCTTGAAATGCATTATAGTTTATAGTGTAATTTCTAGTATAACGTGCGTTCTGAATAAATATTGGCAATTCAAGCCGAAACTGATGAGCCCTTTATGTTCGCGTATGTTAATGAAGCCATGGTGCTCAAAAGGGGCTTCATTGTAGACCATCCAAGCTGCGATTTCGAGTGACCACACATATTCCGTGCGCCCACAAGATGTCGGTTTAACGGAATTCGTCTCTAGCCGGTCTGTTGTCTTCCATGCAGATATGAACGCTGTCATGCAGGCTAACGATGTCCAATGGCTGCTGGCATGGCAAGCACACAGTACTAACGGCATCCTCGACGTCCTTATTGATTCAAAAGTCTTCAACAGAAAGCTTCCCACCCGCGTCCACGAGGCCTTGCACCACATCTCGGGCATGCACGTCGACGGTGATGAGCGCTCCGAGTGTCAGCCTCTCGAGGACTGACAGCTGCCCACGGACCAAATCCGTCAGGTCCATGAGATCAGCAGTGCTCGTTTTCAGGAACCCCGCCACGTCCGACCCCTCTATGGCCCCCTCAACCTCCCGCGTCCAGTAGATGGCGCTCACCGACAGCACCACCTGGGCAGGCCACTGGCGGACCCACTCGGGTCTGGCCACGTTCGCATACGTCTGCATGGAAAGGAAGGTCTGATGCCTGATGCTGGCGAGCATGCGATTTTCAACCATGCCCAGCCAGTTCTCCACGTTGCCTTTTGGGAACATGGTCTCGTTGAAAGGCACCTGAGCAGGTGGTCCTAGGCGTCAGCATTTGGGTAGCTGCAGCCAATTCCCTGTACTTAGACACAAGTACGTGACTAAATCTGCAGACTAAAACAGTTGATTCTCAACGCGTGAAGCACAGTCTCTTGAGTTTCTCTCTTATGTTCAAAAGCTCATTAATTCTCACGAATACTAGCCAGTCAGGGGTGATATGCGAGATTTGCATAAACATGAACGACGCAGCTTGCGTTCAACATTGCTGTGCGCACTTTTTCTCTCTCCTTGGAGTTCATCGCCGCTATTTCCAGATTTTCGGCGAAGTCCAGGGAATCGATCGCTTCGAAGATTTTCCTCAGGTGGGGCTGCACGGCCAACGGGTTCTTCGTCTGCGACAAGATGTGCAGGAGCTCGTCATTCGACAAAAAGAAGAAGCGGGCGAAGGCCAGCCTCTTTGTTTCCAGGTAATCGGAGAGGCCTTTCTGGACGCTCTCCAGAAGCTTGTTGCCCTCGATGAACTGATTCAAAAGCTTCTGGCTCGAGCACGCTTTCAGGAGCAGAGGATTTCGGTTCGCTTGGTCAAGAGCCTGTAGCAAAGCACGGCGCTTCAAGCCTCGTACGAGCTCAGTGCGGCGTCGGAATGCATGCGCTGTAAAAATCGTACCCACCGGGCAAAATTTTCACCATACATTTGGCAGAGAAATTACCATTTCGCTCATGTTCCAGTTTCTTGAATTGTGCCAAAATGGTGCCACGTCGTGCACTGTGAAGCTTAAGCCTGTTAGAATGGAGCGAAGCAGTATCGTAATAATCAATTGCAAGGGGCAGCTTTTCGCGCGTGATTGAAATAAGCATGATCGGAGGGCTGAACCGACAACCAAGCGTTTCGTTCTGGTTCCCTTCAGGAGACTATGGAGACTCAAGTCGGTTGCCGGTCATCAAAAGCTCCCACCTTCCTCCATGCTCTGTCCACGGCTGAGAATCTTTTCCCTTCCAATGGAAGCTGCTGCATGATGTCGTCGCTGCTGAAAATGGGCTCCAGATACATCCACTGCCTCTGCAAGGCTAGCCACTCCTCCAATATCTCGCTTGCCAAATTCAGCTGGGAGTCCCATTTGGAAATGCGCTCCTCAAATGGCTTTTTGTATGGAGAGAAGGTCATAGATTGTACCAGCACTGAACGCAAAACCAAATCCGAGCTTAAAATTGCATTCTATTGATTTGTGCGAACTTTGAAATGTTTAACAGAGGTCTTTCTGGATCGCTTCGTGGGACAATATTGGTGAACAGAATTTTATCTTGCGTAACTGAAAAATGCGCAATCATACCTCCTTATTTATGTACGGATTGTGTTTCCACTACATGCCGATAATACTTCTGGACAACATTATGGGAATGGAAAAGATTAAAATGTCCCTGATGCTTCCAGGCGATGTGCAAAACGGCTTAGTTTTACCTTGAACGGGAAATAGTACAGCTCGCTGCATTTAATTTTACTTGCATTAATTTGCATTTTTTTGCATTTGCATTTTCAATTTTACATTTCCATTTATGTTACACATTTAAGCAAAATCGGCATACAATTTTGTGCCTCTACTTATATTCAGACCTTGGCGGAATGCCAAAATGCGAGGAAGACATTATGAGAAGCACCCAATGGGCAGCAGGTCTGCTTCCCATTGTAGTATATATTTGTCGATGAGAAGAGACTTGGGGGAACATGTGCAGGCGAGCTGGAGTCACTTCTTCACCTATGTGGTCGTCCAGCTGCTGCGACGTCTGCTCATCAACTTTTATCACAAACGTGCCCGTCTCTCTGTAAGGCACAACGCCAATCTTGACACTCTTCCACTCCCGCTCCATCTTGTCCAAGGCCTGCTCGATACCGTACTCCTTCTCGGCCACATCCGCGACCTGAGTGATGGCGCTCAAATGGGACAGCAGGCCCATGTCCTCCGCTTTAGCCATTGTGAACGTTGAGTCGGGATGAAGGTCGATGGACAAATCTGAAGACAGCTGGTCCCAGTGCCTGTCGCGCATTCCAGCACTGCGCAGAGCCTAGTGCATCCACTACGCACGCAAGAGCATCAGTTGGTTTGGTGGAAGTGTGGCGCACGGGATTTAGACATGGAGATATTACTTTGAAACTATGTGTGCACTTACAAACAGGCGCATGAATTGAGTTGGTCATTGTACCAGCAATGAAGGTTATTAATGAAATGACGTGGGATGCCGAGATACCAAAAACGTGGCATCTTGTTGCGAGTAGCGACAAATAGGCAGATCCCACATTCCAAAATGGCAAGGGCATGAATATACAGAATGACTCAAACACATTGTCTCCCCTATAGTTTGAATCGGCGGACAGTTGGCCTCTACAGGACAAGGGCTGTAGCCGGTGGAATTCTACATAGGTTCCACCAAAACCATTTGAGACGGGATTCTCTACAGCAGCCCAAGAAATCGCGCGGTAGGTTGGGGTGGGATGGTGTGTGTTTGTGGTGATGGCGGTGTGTGTCGGGTGGGGGTTGGGGGCTGGGGAGTGGGTTGGGAGCACACGGTCGGATTGGAGGCAGAGCAGCCCATGTGGCAAGTGCAGATCAGAGCTTATCCCATTATGCAAGCTTTCACATGATTTATTCTTGGGCATGGAAACATCAGCCACTCCATTCTTCATTCCTTGCGTCGCTAACATGGGCTCGAAATGCAGAACTCATAGATTATTGACTCATTGAATCCTTGCAAAATGAGAGTGCCATGTTTAGAGACAGGGCGACAGCACAGAGCATGTTCCAACACATTCTTTCCCGCGAGAAATGTGCTCTTCCAGGATATGTGATATAGTGCCAGCAATCTTCCGAAAAAATGAATGACTCAACATGTTACGTACCGCAGTCCCAGTTTAAGCATTACCTGCACCAGTGGAACCAACTTCTTGAATTCTTCGACCTCCCGCTTTATAGCGTCTGCGTTCTGAGAGCATATGCTCAAATCTTTCTGAGCGAAAGCCCTCCCAACTTTGTACATGATTTTGTACGCATTCGCCACATCCTTCTCCACCGCTTCCCCGTTCAGCTTCTCCCATTCTCCGTGCATCCAGCTGTGCACATTCTCCTGGGTACGGTGACATTTTGAACCATGCAATTCAGAACCCGCACACTCAAGCAATGGTCCCGAGCTACAGGAATTGCCAAGTTTTAGACAGTGTTTTAGATCTTTCATGAAACGCGTATAATGCAATTTACAAATGCAGTGCCTAAAATATTGTAGGGTAATATCCAAATGTCGAAATTGGCATGAATAACTGATAATTCTCCCAGATCCGGCATGTTTGATACACCTGGCGTTTAATATGTGTTAATGAAGGCCTCTGTAGCCGAGCTCTGGGGTCATCTTCGCCAATAAAGATGGGGTGAAACAGAGCACGACGGATGCGTTGCTTCTCAGCAAATAGTGCATGAGACGAATGAGACGGGGGGTGGGGTGGGGTGGGGTGGGGTGGGTGGGGGGTGGGTGGGGCGGGGCGTGAGGATCACTGTGCGACTTCACACGGGAGACGTTAGATACATTGATGTAGATGACGACCGGGAAATCACACCTTCCACGTAGACGCACAGGACCAGAATTGCAGAAACGGGTCGAAGGTATCCGATATCTTCTTGATGCGACTGTAGTCCGTTGTGGGAAGTCCAAAGATTGCCTCCCGGGCATTGAAGACCTCGGAGTCCTTGTCAGCCTGCTTCAGCTTCTCCTGAATGAGCTTCGCCTCTTTCACGACGTAATCCAAATTTCCGAGGTCCACGAATCCCTCGAATTTCGCAACCATATTGGATATATCATTCAGCGACTCTGCGAATCCCTCTTGCTCGGCAAGCATTTCCGTCTGGTACTTGTTCTCCTCGTCCACCATTGCTTGTTCTGCCTCCTCGGCAAGACGGCTGACATCCAGATGCCAGGATTCGGCCTTCAGCTTCTTCTTCGCGACGTCGTTGGGAAGCAGGAAGTGATAAGACTTCAGAGCGTCGTACCAAGGCTGCAGCAAACAGATCAATTCGCTTGCGCTGAGTCCCCAAGACTGGACAACTGCGCTCTGATGCAAGAGCATTTGCCGCACGAAATGAACCGAGTCCAATATTCGGGAACTTAGAATGGTGGGTGGCTGTGGATGGCGCGCACAGTTGGTGCCGCCAAACAAAGCCATTCCAGTTTGAGTGGTTTTCAAGTGGCGGCAGCCCTAGCGGAATGAATGAATGAATGTGGCGCCTCAGGCGACATGTGATGCATACGCGCTGCCATGCAGGAGTCTGGAGGCAACACGCAGATGAAATAAACCATAAAACTACCTATGTCATAAATTCGGTTTGCTGTTGGCGATAGCAGTACCCGCATTTCATGCAAAAAACAGAAAAATATTGGAGTCCCACAGACCTGGGCACCCTCAATTTCTGCAGCGATGTCTTTTATCTTGTTTGGTAGATTGGCTATATACATCCTCTGTCTGTCTACGTCTTCGATTGTCTCTCTGCTCACGGCCAACGCCTTTTCAATTTCGACGTACTGGGCACTCACGGACTCCATCAGATTCATCGGTATTGCCGACAGAAGCGCCTTCAACTTCGACACCAGACTCTCGAGTTTGCCGACAAGCTGGTCGCGAACCTGGCGTATCCACAAAACGCATACACAAGGACGCCTGTCGGCAAACATACGTGAACGTATATTCGAAATGCAACAAATCCAAAAAGCGCTGCACCACCTTGCTGGCGGCCGCACAATGCTTGACGCCAATCAGGCCTGGCTGTTTACAGGAAACGTGAAATACTGGGATACATCAGATATCCTCCAACTAGAAGATTCTGCCGTGAACGATGCTGGAATGCAGTGGCTCAAGTATTATGGGAATCAGGGGGTGATTCTGGGTCCGAGCACTGCTCTTACTGTGGCAGTCAATAACATTAGCATTTCATGCGTGCAACGGGCATGCTTCCACCTGAGGCGGCAGTGAGCAGATGATTCCCAAGCGGCCGAAATAAATCGCACCTTTGAAAAATTTACGGACAGCCAGCCCAAGTTCATAGTGACGGGCATCCCGCTCTGAAGGGCTTCGAGGTTCCTCATGCCGGTGTCGATTTCTGCCGTCAGCTCCTCTAAGGACAATTCTAGGCCCCTCGTCTGCAGTGTGCGGCAGCATCCAAACACTGAAAGGCGTGTCCTACAATTCAATCATTTCTGAAGGGCAGCGAAAGCAGTAGCGACTGAAAGGGATTCAGACAACGGCAGCGGAGAATCTTTACCGGAGACGCGTGACATCGAAAAAGAGTAAATGATGACCAAATCACCGAATACGACCGTTCAAAGTTGCTGTTCACTGTGAAGCTCAGTGCCCACTGAGCCGACAGAATGGCCCGAAACGGCTCCCACAACCCACCTTCAAATCCTCCACGTACGCGTCAATGTCCAGAGAAACGAAGGGGAGAAAATGCTCGAAATGCCGGAGGTAATCCTGGGCTATCCTCACCGGGGCTTCCCACATACCCCGGATTTCATCCCTGATGCCAACGATGTGGGGCTCCATTGGGTGGGGTGTGTTGAGAAGCGGGATGTGAGCCCAAAACATCTTGTCCATTATGGAGGGCTCAAGTTGAGGTATGCCCTTGGCGACCGGACGAACAAATGGCCTCAGACAGCCTCTGCAGCGTTTCGGGAAAAGGGGTGCGACATTTGGCATGTGATGCTTTGCAATGCACCCAATTGGTCCTGAAGTGGCATCCCTTGTGGTGCGGACCACATGGTACTTACTGGCTTGGTCAGCGGAACTCAAGATAAATGCAGTAACAAGAAAGATTGGCATTTCAAAATCTACCTATTCTTTGACTCAACACCAACACAACACAGCAGGAAAACTGCACATTGACAGCCTGCAGCGGATGCGAACAAAATTCTTTGAAGTACTTCGAGAATGTACAGCGCTTGTACTGCACGAGCACTCGTATATTTGTGCACTATCTATCGGAAGTTTGGCAAAATGCGGAGGCGCTGTACCTGCACGCAAGATATGGCATGGTCCACCACGGACACCATCTTGCCGGGAATCTCCTCCGGGTCGCTGCTGTATGCAAATTGCTCCTCCTTGGTCACAACCAGCTCCACCAGGAATAGGGGGTACCGCCTCAGGGTGACAGAATCTCCATCATAATAGCAAACCTCGACGTCATTGCTGCCATTGACGGCCACCTGCCAGGCGGCGCAGGAGGGCGGGCGTCACTCACACTATCAAAACACACCCTGTTTGCGATGCCAACTGTGATGACTTTTTGACACAAAAGTGCGCCATCACAATGGCTGCGATGGCATGATTGTGGGCGTGACGGCATCAATTAGTGTCAAATGGCGTCGCAGCTGGCATCGCAGAAACGCCGTTTTCTGCTGGTACCTGGCAAGGCGAATTCGTTGCCTTTGGCGCAGGGTTGTTGCTGCTTCCTGGTACCGCATCCTGTGTGAATTGCACGCGCTGCACGGCAAGAGAGTCGATATAATATCTATGCACGCTTCTTCATCGAGCAGCACACTTTTTCGTCACATGGTGAGCAGAAAATGAGTGGATGGGTAACGATGGGAATATATGCAGGCAGAGGCGACTGGCAGCATGCAGCGCAAACCTGGATAGCGCAGAACACCGCCAAATGATCAATTCGGTCGTCCAAAAATCCGCACTTTAAAGGAGAGCATGTGCTTTTGTCCCATCACCCCATCCACCCACCCCCACCCGCCCACGCATCCACTACTATCAGGCTTGGTCCTTACGCCGCAAAAACTGATATTATTTACGTTTTCACGCGCAAAAACAGTTTTTACGTTTTTACGCATTAAAATGCGTAAAAATATGTAAATACAACGTAAAAGCTGCCCGTTGTACATAAGGACAGTACATACAGACTTACGGAGTCCGGAGAGTGGCAGCCAGACACCCTGGAAGGGGCAAAAACGAATTTTTGTTAAAACACCATCATCGCCCTTGCCAAGGGCGAGGTGGACACTGTGTTGCGGGTGCTGGATATGGCGGAGGACTGATCATTGTACGCAGCTTTCATCGTGTAATCTGGGCGTTTCAGGTAGGCGTAAAAACCTAAAAGTAGCCGTAAAAATAGTCCCTATTGCAAATTTACGTTTTTACGTGTAAAAAGGTAAAAGAAAAAACGTAAACGTAAACGCAAAAACCGAGCCTGACTACCATCACCACTTGAGGTGACCTCAGCGCAGCAACACATTGTATGAAACCGCGAATCCTGGCCGGCGTATGCATTTCGGGCACTCGGCCACGGGAGCAGGTGCCTCCTGCCAAGTGCCCCATACCTTGTAGGCGGTGCAGCTTTTGAGAAATTCCCGGAACTTGCGCAGGCCCTCCAGAAGGTAGCGCAGCGTGTCCTCCATGACGAACCTCGTGAGCGTGTTGAAGCGCCGCAGCTTGCTGAACTCGTACGTCTCACGGTTGGTTTCCTGCAGGTGGAACCACCCCTTGCCGATGTCCTTGAAGGAGTTGCGTATGGCGTTGCGCACTCCCGTGCTCCACGTGTCCTTGAGGTAGTTGCTCACCTGCTCGCCGGCCTGGACCTGGCTCTGGTCGAACTCATCGGGCTTGGTGGCCTTGGAGAAGTGCGTGTTGAAGAGGCTCATCTTCAGCACCTTGTGGCATTCGGCACGCATCTGCGGGCGCACACCTCTACGAGTCACTGCAAAGCGTTTGAGGGAGTGCTGACTTGGTAGAGACGATGGAAGCAATGTGAAGCGGCTGAAAGGGAATGGTCTTCGTTGTTGTACCATTGTGGTGTTGGAGCTGATAAAGTTCGAGACCGTCACAATGGAGATGTCGATGAGAGTGGCAACGTCGGTGTGACTGAATACGAAAACGGCGATTTGCTCGAAGGAATGGTGACGCTGCAACTGCTTCTGCCAGTGCTAACAACAACAGAAATGGCAGTGGCAACGGTGATGATAAAAAAGATATAACGGACACCGAAAAGAAGCAGTAGTTGCGATAACAATACTAAAAAGAACAATATCAATGATAAAAACAACAATGGAAACAATAGTAAGAATAGAATAGAGTAGAGTAGAGTAGAGTAGAGTAGAGTAGAGTAGAACACAATATGGTGTGATATAATGCAAGCACATTTTCATATGCTTAAAGCATGATGATGACAGCGGCCTTGGGCATACCTTCACTGTGGCTGCTATGACTTCCCCCTTGGTCAATAGCGTGGTGAAAGAAAACTCACTGAACTGCTCCAAAAAGTCGTAGGGTGGCATGGGCACAGTTCCGCCAACATTTTGGGGTGGCGGATTGATGTCTTCTGCCGGGCTGGCACAATCGTCGGGGCGATCTGGGCTCAGCACGGAACATCCCTCCACCGCACCTTGAGAGATCCGGCGGTCGAAGATGATACCGTTCATGGCACGAGCATATTGAATGTTGATTTCCGTGATGAGGTGCGTGGTGTCCATGAGCTTTTCCTTGAGGCGGGCAGAGTTAAGGGCGAAGCTAATCATTCGGTTGACGGTCTCAACGGAGAGGGGTGTGATATCATCTGTGGGCATGCAATCCACATACAGATGGTACCTGGGGATGGCACACCGCGATGATCGATCAGTGCGGGCTATTACATTCACTGATTAGAGAAAGGCCTAAAAAGCGCGCCCCACATCACAAAGACTTAGCCCGGATTTCCACGTGTTGAACGTTTGTTTATGGGCTTTTCTGTTAAGCACTTGTTGTGCATTGATGGCGGTTTGGTGTGACTTGAACGCTAATGGGAATTGACCAACTGACAATTTTCTACCGAAGATCTCAACTTCATGCGGTAGTTTTGATTTCCTTCAAATAGCCACAGACACGGCTTTCCCTTCGACGCATAGCGTTCAGCCTTGCATCAAAGCGCTGAATAGATATAGCAAATCCGTGGGGCATTTGGGCAGATGGTGAGAACTTGCAGCTCTGCTTTTTGGACGAATGCCCTATCATTCCCTAGTATTTTGTATTCGGGATTTAGGGCACACCGACTACTGTTTAGTAGACGGTGCGCCCTAAATCCCGAAGCCCACTGTTCAGAGGGAGCAAACACATCCTGGTGTAGGTATGTGGAGCTCCGTCAGCTGCTGGTACGTCACGCCCAAGGGGCCTCCCAGGACCGCCCGGCCACCGCCGCGAGGCCGGCAGCCCACGGCGACGAGCCGCGCCAAAGCGCAACAGACGGCACGACAAGAGGCGGCGGTGCGCCACCGCCGATCTCCGATGAGATGCGTCTCACCGCGCGGCGATCAACACATGCGGACTCCCAGACAGTGGCTGCGACCGACGGACAGCAACTCGCATCCATCCCCTCCTTCCCCCCCCACCCGCCCACACACACACACGCATGGGGCTATTAAACACGGGCTGCCTTCAGTGACTGAGAAGAGGTGGGACAAACACTCTGGACATACCACGGATAAGGCATGACTTGTGAAGTCGAAACATTTGCATGGAAGGGATCCCAATTCAACGGAGTACTCCCTCTCCCCCCGCCCTCCTCGGGAACTGTCAACAGCCCCCCGCCCCGCCCCACCCCCTCGCCGCTGCGCAAGCCTGTCCCCATCGCATCGTCGGCGCGCACCCGAGCATGGGGCCCACCTGATGAGCGCATCCGCCCTCCGGCGCGCCCTGAACCCCCGCGCCACTCGCGCCGCGTGCACCTTGGGGTCCTCCGCCTCGAAGCAAACCATCAGCCGCGGCACCCAGCGCTTCTCCCGCCCGCCCCCCAACGCCACCAGGCACCGGTTGGCCTCCCCGTCGTACTGCAGCACGTCGGCGGGCGCCCACGCGCACCCCTGGGCCCCGGGGTCCGCCACCAGGGCGGGAGCTGGGCGGGCGCCCCTGCATGGGGACACCCATTCGGCCGGCTGCCGCGTCTCGTACTCTGTGTCGTCGAAGCACTCGAGGCTGAGGCCGGAAGCCAGGGCGGCCAGCCCGCCGGGGCCGCAGTCCACGCCCTCGGAGGCCAGCAGCTCCGGCAGGCTCTGGGACCTGTACTCGCGCTTCTTCCTGCAGGGGGGGAGAGCTTTCCATTGAAATGTGATCCCCTCTATGCAAACGTTTTGATTTACAAGTGATGCCTTCCGTGGTACGTCCAGAGTGTTTGCCCCACTTTTTTCTCAGTCACTGAAGGCAGCCCCTGCATTATAGGCCCACACACATCTCCAAGAAAGAGAATTCTGCAAGCGGGAAAAAATCGTGAATTTTGAAAACTCATTAATCGGGGAAATTCAGTGATCGGGCATTGCGGGGTTGGCATGGGCGTGCGCTTGGCTGCTGACAGAAAACATCGTTTTAGCGATGCCAACTGCGATGCCGCGTCGGCATTAAGTGGTGCCATCGCCGTGTTTGCGATGGCGGCAAAGCAGCTGCTATGGCATCAATTGATGTCGAATGGCGTGGCAGCTGGCATCGCAAAATTGGTATTTTGTGCTGGTGCCTGACGGGGAACGGAGGGCTGGCAGGGGTATGCTGGGTGTCTCTGATGGGGACGGACACCTCTGGCGGAGACTACAGTGGGCTGTGGTGATTTCGCGGTGGCGCTGGCGTCGGGTCCGGCGCGGATGCGGGAGGGGATTGAGTCGAAATGCGTGCACACCTTTGGATTTGGACTTTTCGTGGCGTCTCCCCAGGCCTGGTGCTGAAGGGCACCATGACTTTTGGGAGAAGATGGCTGTCGTCGCCATCTCCGAGCTCGCCGGGACCCTGCAGTCAACGCCCTGGCTTCAGATCCCAATTAACAGGTCCTCATTTTTGTAAAAGCGCTATTTCCACAGGTTGCTGTCAGCGCTTCTCATCTGTTTATTCGACGCAGTCCCAGAACTTGGAAAATTGCAGCACTTAAATGGAACACTGCAGGAATTCAAGCATGCTGAACAGGAAACAGTTACACAGTAGTGACGTCCTACATGGACGTTGCTGCCGCAACGTCATTGCAATCAGGCGCCTGCACAATGCAGTAACTCAATTGTAACGACAGACACACCCTGGCAAGAACAACGCACTCATTTTGCGCTGTTTATTGTCACGCTGGCAGCCTGCGGGTAGCTTAAGGATATTGGCAAACATCTGCCATGGCGTGGGAAATCTGCAGCGCAGCGCCTCTGCCGGTGACAGCGGAGGCAACAAATCAGCCGAAGAATTTGAGGATCCACTCACGGATTCAGTCCTCTGTGTCGCAAGAGGGCAATTGTTCTAGGCCCTCCGCTGCAGCAACTGGCAGCATCGAAGAAGAATAGCCGCTGAATAATTAGGTCCTGGTTCAGTGGGTCCTCACCAGCGAACTGTGCTACTGCCGATCCAAATTTCCCAACGAACCCTGAGCTATCGCAGCTACAAAAGCCGCGATGCATCAATGAAAGCCCTCCGCCTTGTTTTAATCGTGGAATCGCGGCGTGGGTATGGAGTGAAAAATCTCAATGTGATTTGAACGAACATTGCAGTTTGAAGGAGCATCACCCATGCCCCCTTTCCCCTTCCAGCAAGTGGAGTGTAGCGTGCCCCCCATGCTGTGAGATGTTTTCTGTTAGTCTTCGCGACACCTCTTCCTACCAAGAGCTCCGCGGCCCAGGCAGAAAAAGGAGAAAGACCCCTGTGTTACGCAACATTACGCTCATGCGTTTGGGTAGACATCAAGCTCCAAAATTTCCACCGAATTTGGCCTTAGAGGACGGCCGTTTCTGTCTGGCGCAGTGCTGCGTGGGAATACCCCACTAGGGGACAGAACGGGTGTGGAAGGAAGTGAAGTATTTCGAGGTTTTGCACAAAGGTTCACAACGGAACGGCCCAGATGACCCGGTGGGAGTAAGAGTAAGTCGTGGATCCTTCGTTCGCAGTGGGTGGAGTGTACATAAGCAAAGACACACTTCTGCTGACATTTACATCGCCTCCCCCAAGACATCACACACCGTCGCTGCCGCGGCGCCGTTCCCCAACGCCAGATACTCAACCGGTGATGACGTCAGCTTCCCCCCCGCGCGTCACATTCGAGGCCCCCGCCCACGCTGCCCACCTCCTCAACTCCGGCTGGAGCCTCCCGCTGACCCCTGGCGACCGGCGCCTCGGGCTCTTGGGCCGCGCGCCGCCGTGTCAACCGGGCTGCCCAGGAGCAGCGGGAGGGGAGTCAGGACGCGCTTGGAGGCGGATGCTCCAAGCGAGGAAAGGATCGACTTGAGCGACGCTGTGTGTGATCACAAGTTGAGGTGCGCACCTCTTGGCCTGGGGTGGAGCCCGTGCGCGGCGCACGCGAGCATCCGGCCTTCTTCACTGCAAAGGGGCGGGCGACTGGGCTTGCATGTCGAACACCCAGGGGCGGCGAGGACGGCGAGCGGTGTCTCCGCTTTGACGGCAGGCCCTCAGGTGGGCCGCTCAGGTGGGCTGAGGCGCGCGATTTTGGGAAAAGGGGAGGGGGGTGGCGGAGGGAGGGGCGCGAATTGGGTTCGGGCCCCTCCATGTGTACTGACCCTCAGCATCGCCCCCAAGAGAAAAATATCCTTGGAGCTGAATTCTGCGACATTGACATCTAGGTCACTGTTGCAGTAGTCTTGAACAAATGCTGACGGTCCCACAACGGGGCGCAAGTCCAAGGTGCCCTAACAATGGTGCCCCATGTCCTGTGAGCTGGCAGTCTTCGAATCCTCTGAATGGACCCCAGAAGGAAACCGTTCTAGATCTCTTGGGTGAGGTTACGTTCCCAAAACGACACTAGTTTTAAAGCAAACGGTTCTGCTCAATTGCTTTGAGCCAAAACGCTGGGGAAGGGTGCAAACTGCGTGGCACAGCGCTGGGCGTGCAAATCCTCTGAACACGTGCATCCACTCGTGCTTGGTTTTACGTTTACGTTTACGTTTTTACTTTACGTTTTTACGCGTAAAAAACTAAATTTACGAAAGCGCCTATTTGTATGGCTATTTTTACGTTTTTGCTACTGGCTGGGACACCCAGATTACACGATGAAAGTTGCGTACAATGATCAGTCCTCCGCCATCTCTAGCACCCGCAACACAATGTTCACCTCGCCCTTGGCAAGGGCGATGATGGTGTTCAACAAAAACTCGTTTTCTGCCCCTTTCAGGGCGTCTGGCTGCCACTCTCGGGACTCCGTAATTCTGTATGTACTGTCCTTATGTACACCATGCAGGTTTTACGTTGTATTTACGTATTTTTACGCATTTTTATGCGTAAAAACGTAAAAACTATATTTACGGGTAAAAACATAAATACGATCAGTTTTGCGGCGTAAAAACCAAGCCTGCATCCACTCTAAGAAAGAATGTTTGAAGAGAATGAAAGCCTGATGTCCAACATCTGTGTTCATCAATTGCTCACGATCTCCTGCTGTCTGTTCCTAGGCACGTCGCTATACAGGTGCAGCTGATGCTTCAAGATAGACGAGAAATGAAAGAAAAGAGAAGCATTTACATATCGCCCAACAAACAGCACCGCCCTCGCACATAGCACGCTTTCAGGGGCCCTTGACTTGGTGCACGATTGTTTCTTGGATGCTGCAGGGCAGCATCGTGCCTTGATGGCAGGGATTGCAAGGAGACATACCATACAATAATGACTGGAAGGTGGCCTTCATGCCGCCTCAATGACCTCTGCCTGCCATGCATTGCTGACTTCTGCGACTCTCCCCAGACCGAAATTTGCACCACTGGTCCTCCCCGACCATAATTTTGTGTATGCAGTGGGGCCTTTGTTATTGGAAGTGGCACTCTGCAGCGATGGAAGGGTTGTGTCGATTTAAGTGTGCTGGCGTATGGGCGGTAATCACAACAACAATGCATTCTCAATTTCGTTTTCTTTCTATTCACTAAGGTTGCTCAATCTGTCCCACGTGGGCCCACGACTTCCCACGGCCTCCCACACACCTTCCCACGTGGATCGGCCCACATGGACATACACGGGAAGGCTGTTGAAGTGCACTAACGTATGGCATGCCCAACATCAATGCATCCGCTGGACTGCCCACCCACGGATGCCCACGTGGCTGTCCCACGATTCTGCAACCCTGGTGATTGCGATGCACCTGAGCATCGCAGTCTTGCCATGTGAAGGGTGGGCACAAATGACCATCATCGCCTTGTAAGGGAAGGCACTATGTTGGAAAGTGGTACGCTTAACGTCAATTTGATGTAAAGGGGGTCTGGACCTGTGACTCTGAGATTATGTACTCGATACAATTTCGACATAAGGTCTGAAGATATGCAAAACGCCGTTGACCACCCTTCAAGCGTTCAAACTTAAATGAAGACTCCAGAGTACCCCGAATAGACAGCCATCGGGGCAGCCCCAATCACCTGAAATGGCCTTACCATCATGTTTTTCAGCGCATTACAATCACTACAATTTTGGCAGTTTATGTTCCTGTAAAGGAATCAAAAGTGAGCTTATGACAGCTTTTCCTGCTCCCTGTAAAGGCCCACATGCAGACGCAACCAGAATCCTGTCATGTATATGCGGGTGCATGGGGCTCCCCCCACACTCGCGGCATCGAAACGCCTGTTGAGAAAGTGGTCAATCACATCACTAATGCTGAACACAGGGCCACGTGCTGCACGCCCCTTCCCCTTATGTAAGCAGCAAGACAACGGCTGCACGCAGGCTTACTCTTGCAACTCCAAGTGTCGTTTCATCCACCTTGAATGTACATCTTCATCCTCAGTCTCAGCCGCACCCCCCAGGAATCCCATCCATGCCAAAGCCTAATAATCTTGTAACCCCAGGTTGATGGACCCATCCCCCGAAGGTGGTTCATAAAATTGTTCACTCTGCTTTGATCGCATCTGCTCCCATCCCTCAAATCCCAAACTGCAATTGTCTTGCACAAACCTATATTAAAGAACCCTCAGAAAATCGTCTCCGAGCCACAGTGTCGACGTCATACACCATGATTGCATCCTTCAGCCCCACAAAGAGTTTTGTAGCCTGGCGTTCAGCACAGCATCCTCGCAGTCAGGCACAGAGCACAATGAAGACAATGGGCATGGACATCAATCGCAGCCACCCAAACACTTTCCCATTCGAAGACAATTCCCGCTGAACATCAAAACAACTGGCCATCGCAGATACTCAGAATTCTGTTCTCGCAATGAGAGGGGCTGCTTCATCAAACCACAGCTTTGACTTCCAGACATTGGCTTGCACTGGCGTCACTGTGTTTTGGACACTCTGCAGAGCTGCTTCAGCATCCGGATACATCCATTGTACAGTGGAATGAAAGCAAGTAGAGTACCATTGTGCCGAGTTGCTTATTTCGCTGATCCTGGACAGGGATCTGTAATGGCCTGTGTCGGGACTGGTGATGCAACCTTCCATTTGCAACGTGAATGGGCGTCAGTTTTTGCGTTGAGGACACATACGCCAGCAAGAGGTTTGCCTGAGCGTTCTCCAAACTTGAGCTTACTGACACCCCAAGGTAAGAATCCACATTGCCAGGAACAGCCCACGGGAGCCGCATGTGTAAGGCCAACACAGGAGGGCTAGGGCCAACAGTGTCAAGAGTAGCTACAAAATGCAGTCACAGCAGTACTGTGCAATTGACAGTTTTGGGACCACATGGGAATGGCAGCAGCGGAGTGGGGTTTGGGGTGAGAGGGTTATGATTGGGCTTGGATGCAACTACCAGGCATATTGTTGTCAACCCACTTGTTTCTATCCAATCCCAATGTTTGTCCCACCCACACTGCATCGTGGGTATTCGATAGCGCTCATGACCACGTAACATATACCCAGATCATCTTGCAAGTGGCACATGCCAGACAGCCTGTGTCCAGAACAAATGAACAGCAATGCATTCAGCAATGTTGCACACTGCTTTGATGCACAAGACTAAACAATCAACACATATCACACAAGCAACCACACTTGCTTCTCTGTGCTATGCTCTACTTTGATATCAGATTGGCAATGCTGGAAAAAGCATGTGATGAGCTGCCAGGTCATCGACAAGTCGGATGCTCACCACCACAGTATTGCCATGGAGCAAAGGCATAATACTACTGAATGTCGATCCTTCAAATGATTTGAGTCACAGCAGCAGCAACACCGACAAAACACTCACGTCTGGCAGGAAGCACACCCCTGAGATCTCTGCCTCGGAATTGCCCTGCATCCTCAGCAGTTGCTGCTGATTCCACTTCCGGATGTCCACAAGATGCACAACATTTGTTTCCTCAGCAAACATCATCAGGTCCATTGGTGCAGTGCTGAATTTGACACTGCGGCAGGGGGCACTGCACTTGAACCGAACCACTGGCTTGCTTGTGCGTCTGTCCCACACGCACGTTGTGCCATCCTGACTTGCAGCTGCAAAACGGACCCCCTTTGAGTCCCAAGCGCAGCACATGCCCACATCACTGTACTCTTTCAACTCCTGCGTTCGTCTGTAGCCTGAGCACACCAATGGGCATCTCAAGGCGATCAGCAATGAGGCAGCCAGCAGTGCCAGCACACAACCACTGTGCTGACAACTCAGGAGAATGGCTCTAGCGCTATGGGCTGAAAGTACAACACAAAGTGCACTCAGGTTCAAATATTTGGCCTTTGTCATGCTTGTTTGTTCATTGTTTTGAGACAAAACACGTGCACTATGGGCACCAGGCTGCACAAGAAACCCCAGAGATATATTTGTCATGCCTCTAGTAAGCAAAAATTCTATGTTCTCCACACACACTCATTGGGCCGAATCTGCACATAATTTGCGAATGTAGTGTGTACGCCGAAGCTCGCAAGACATGACAGCCTGTCTGAAGGCTCATTTATTGATGGTTAACGCAAACTACCTGTGGCTGTTGCCTCATACAGATACACAGCAGGGCTGTCTCCAACGCCAACTAGCCAGTGGCAGTCATGACTCACAGCTGAGTAGTTCATCGACTCTTGGAACCTGGGGAAGCCACAGCATTTGACTTCCTCAGCATTTGACCCAAAATTCTCTTGCTGGACTGCACTGCACTTTGAAAATTGATGTGCTGCTCCATGTTGCTCAGCGGTGACACCCACTCACCACAGCCAACTGCCCCTTGCTGTAGCCAGTGGGGCGATAATTATGGCAGTCAAATTGATGGTCAGGCAGGCACTGGATTGTTGGGCCATTGTTTCATATAACACAGAGGGCGTCTCAATATCAAGAGCTGCAGCACCTGACCGTGCAGTAGTGATTGGCAAGCAGCCGTGTGAATAAGACATGAACAGGATGTTCCTCAAACACAATTCGGCTGGGCAGCATGGCAACAATAACTTACTCAAGAGTTGCATATTGGTCCATGGATGGCAGTGAGAAGACCTTGATGGTTTCATCATTGTTGCACACAAAGAGCAAAAGACCTGCAAGAACAATAGGCACAATGCGCATGCCACATCAACAACAGATACCCCTCTCAGAAGCCACATACGCCCAAATCCATACGAAATTCAAGGCTGCTTCTACATGACATTGCCACATAATTACTACGAATCCTGCAAATCGTGATTCTAGAGTTGTTTGCCGAATTTCGTTAGGTGTTGTCTCTTGGCTGACAACACAGAGGGCTGTCGCAAGGAAAGTGCACATGCTTGAACCCACCTATTGGTCCCTCTGCAATCCTCAGGGAGTTGTTGATGATGCCTCCAACCTGTCCACTGTACACATCCTCTTCATCCTTCACCTTCTTGATGTCAATCTGCAGAAGAACAGCAACTCAGGTTCCTTCAAAAGAGTTTTGTGGCCCAGGACTGATGCTTCTTGTTGGGAAGCTGAAGACAAACACCGGCTCTAGATCATTGCAACAGACTCGCAAGCTACAAGACCGAGATCAGGGTTGCTCAGTGTATGGCTCTCTGAGAAGCATTGGATGATTGTGACGTTAAGACCAGGGAATGCAAATGCACCCGGCAAGAATGGGCATTAGATTACTGAGACTCGTTGCTCTGGTCCTCTTGGAGCTTGAATATCCCAAGACAGCATGAACAGTGGGCATCTGGCCCTGCTTGGAGCCATTCCACCTGATTGCATTTTGCACACACTAACACTACATCATGTTAGACAGAGCAACACGCGGTCTGATACAACAATGCCCTTGCACCTGAAACAAGCCTCCCAGAAAGGTGGGAGGATGAGGTAGTCTCACCTGGCTGCTTGGCCCCCCAGCGGCAATGTACCCGTGGTCGACAGTCATGCAATTGGGATTGAAGCGCAAGGTTTGCACGATAGAAGACTGTGAAACAGAAGCGCAGCGAATGACAAGGAGTCAGCCACTGAACTGGTGACATTGGAGGGCTGTTGCGGCTTTGTGGTGCAAACAGGGAATCAGGGACAAACCTGTGCATGAAGTAATCAGCACACAGCAAGAACAGGAAGATTGGGGGCCCCAGGCGAAGGACTCACAGCAGAAGCCTGTCGCTTAGTAAGGGCACCGAGAATGGGAACACAGTGCCGAGGAGACTCGTGGATTGAGCGCACCTTGCCCGTCGCTATGCTGCACCGAACCGTGGTGTTCTTGTACACGGAGTAAATCGACCCCGCGTCATCGCAGGAAACCAGGTCCCGCAGCTGCCAGTGGTGGATGCTGGTCGGCTGGTCTGCGCCGGCAAGATGCGTGCCCACGATTCAGCGTCAAGCCTCCTGGACTCGGCCACAGAGCATCCAAATGCGCATATCTGGGGGCTGGGCGATGTGTGTGTGTGGGGGGGAGGTCCACCTAGCTTCGACGCCTGCCTCGCCAGCGTCGGCTCCCAGGCTCCATCCAGCAGCACCATGGCCCCTCGAGGGTGGGCGCCCGCCGGCCCCGGGCCTCACCGGCGGTCGGGCGAGCGCTCTGCAGGCGAGCGGCGGTGCGCGTCTGTGCCGGCCGATCCCCGTCGCCACCACCGTGTCTTCAGGGCCTGAGGCGCACGGGACGATCCGCCCGAGGCGCAAGGACCGCTGAGTGACACTACCTGACAACCGATCATAAAACAACAAAGGGGTCGGCACAAAGAGAGAGAGAGAAACCTCCGCTTAACCACTGGAGAGCAGGTGTCACGTGGGGCAACGAGGGAGGGTGGGCCTGGAGAGGAGAGATAGAGCACCAGAGAATTAAAACGCAAAGAAAGGAGTCCCTCCCACAACTTCTGAAAAAGGTCGCAATGGAGCTAGTGGAACACCATAGGTTACTGGCAAGAACCAGAGGCAGTGCAAACAGATCAATAAAACAATCTTAGGAACGTCAGCTAATCGCCGCGGCTGCGTTTAGTTTAATGTTTTCGACGTGCACTATTAAGATGCCTGGGGAGATCCGTCCGTGACTGGGCTGATGAACAGGATGACAGAGTGTGAAGCGAAAGTTTCTTTTCATGCACCCCTGAAGTGCTGGGTACCAGGGCGAGGAAGTAGCCATCGGCTCAACATTTCGCCCAGCCAAACCAGTGACAGCAACTTGCTCACTAAGCGCCCAAGACATTGCCAGGGGTCTCCACGCTCCGTGGAAAGATGGTCCGTCTGCGGCGCAGCCCCCTTGCGATTTTTTTCTTCATTCTGCAAATGTTTTGAATCAGCGAGCCCAGTCTAGCCAGTTGATCGCTTTTTTACAAACGTTGCTGTTGGAGTATTCAATTGGAACTCGGACAGCGTAATGGACAGAGCGGTTGGTTAACCTGGCTGCCCTGTCAGCTGGACGTACGGAAGGCAGCGGCTGCTTCTGTCCGAATACGCGAGTGTCGTCATTCGGAGCCGCTGATTTTCGAGTGGACAGTCCGCTCACAGATTAGGGGACGCTCCCAGGGACCCTTGGGCATCGCTGCAATCCAACAAGCCATGAAGTCATGATCCACCAGAAATAATGAACCGATAAACTCCAGAACAGTCGTTCCGTTTTTACCTGCTGTCTGCAAAGGTCAAGCGTAAGGAAATGTGAACTGCCAGAAGTCCCAAGAGAATTAAAGCATTCCAACTCACTCTCCAAGATTTTACAAGACAGCCCGTTTTCGTTGCAATAATCTCTGAATGAGTCTTATAAATTGTTGCTAGCTTGCTAGGACAAACCCATATAGCTCCATCGCTGATCTGCAGCACGGCTTCAGAACTCGAGTTTATCAGTTAAAAGCAACGTCATATGTACTTTGCCGACGTTTGAAATAAAAGAACCAAACAGATGACAGTCTCGCTAGGACGCCGGAGAGGAGGGAAAATTTGCGGACAAAGGTATTGTGCCATTCGCCCTCAGGCTTAAGTTCATCCAAGAACCATCCCAAGAATCTTCTCGCGCTGGCTTGTGCGAAAAGGCTCTCGCGATCGTACTTGGATGGCCAAGGGTAGAGGACAGATGGCCAAGGGTAGAGGACAGATGCAGCTGTGGCTCTTGCTTCTAAGTCAGGTATATCAATAACCCTCACGACCAGCCCCGCCCGTCATCCTAATAAATAAGTATAGAGTGATGGGCGGAGGGGGCGGCCCGTCAGGTCAATGAAAAGCATTGGTCAAAGTGCAGCAGAATAACTATAGAAAAGATGCTTGTGAGCAAGCTCAACGGAACTCGATAGAACGCTTTAGAGCACTGAAGCAGAAAGCGGCGTTCTTGTGCAAGGCCAACCTAGAGATTTTACCCTTCAGCGAGGATTTTCAACAATGGATAATTTCTTCACCCCTGATCAGCAGTGTTTCGCGTCTGTTGAACAGACTCTGCTGTTAGCTTACATCGATTTGTGGCAACTGGTAGTTTTATTGCCACACGTATGCACTGTTTCTGCCTTGCCCCCTTCTCACTACGTCAATTTGACTCTGAGTGTACGGATATCAATTTAATGTTGTCTCCTACACTTGCCAGGTATTGATATCCATATACAGGACCATCAAACGATGCGATACATACTGCTACTGGGTCATTTATATCAGGCTTGGTTTTTGCGTTTACGTTTACCTTTTTGCATTTGCGTTTACCTTTTTACGTTTACGTTTGTAGGCGTAAGAACGTAAATTTGCGAAAGAGGCTATTTTGGGGGCTCGTTGGGACAGCCAGGTTAGGCGATGAAAGTTGTGTAAAATGATCAGTCCTAGGCCATTTCCAGCACCCGCAACACAGTGCCCATCTCGCCCTCGGCAAGGGCAACGACGGCATGGAACAAAAATTCGTTTTCTACCCGTTCAAGCTCGACTGACAGCCATTCCCCAGACTCCTCAAATCTGTATGTACTGTCCTTATGTACACGGGGCTGTATTTACGTTGTGCTTATGTATTTTTACGCGTTTTTATGCGTGAAAACGTAAAAACTATTTTTACGTGTGAAAACGCAAATACGTTCAGTTGTTACGGTGTGAAAACCAAGCCTGATTTATGTGGACATGGTTTGGACACGCGATCCAAGGACTAGCTGGAAATTTGCAATTACAGCTAAAAAAATGACGAAAACGTTTTAAAAATTGGTTCAAGGATGCAATGACGTCACCAACAAATGATCCCAAATTACAAAGCTATCGGCAACTTTGATAACTCTACATTTTCAGTGACAAACGCTGACACCAGGTCCACAACAATAAAATTATCCAATGTTCTAGATAAAAAAATAAAAACCCCACAAACACAGCCACAAAAACACACTGTATCCCGATGCAGACCGTGCACACAGAGACGGTGACGGAGACGGAGACGGGTTGCAGCATTGGCGATCGGGCGTGAGGGCTTGGAGCCTACACACAGACTCTACACAGAGGGTCCCAATATGCGTGGTGGGTATCGGGGCCGGCCTCCACATACATGCCAACCATCCCTTGCTGCTGGAGAGCTTACTGTATTTGTCCCGCGAACAACCGGCTCAACGGCCTTCTGGCCCGAACGCCAGCGTCCTGCCCCTCCTCCCCCACGGCCAGCTCGCCAGCGCCCATCCCCTCTTCCCCGACAATCCATGCCGAGCGCCCCGACGCTCCTCTGCCAACTCTGCGGCGAGGCATGCGCCGACGAGTGGCTGTGCGAGGACTGCGGGGCGCTGGCCTACTGCAGCAAGCGGCACCGCCGGATTCATTTCCGACAGGGGCACGCGGAGGAGTGCAGTAGGATGGCGGAGCAGGTCAAGCGCGCGTCGGTGAGCTTAGCTGGCCATCCGCCGGGGCCTCCTGAAGCGCCTCACGTCTCTGAATTGTGATCGTATGGTTTGCGGGGCGCGTGGCTCCTGCCCCCCGAACCACAACCCTGGCCAATGATTGCAACGAATTGGGTCCTTTTGAACCTCATGACTGGAACCTGGAAAGTTCTTTCCCCCGGATTGGGAGCAACAGTGCTGCATGTGTCAATCTCCTTTGGGCAAACGGAAGGCCCACCCCGGGACGGCTGAGCGGACCCTTACTTTTTTTCTTTTTGTTGTCCCGCCGATCTGACCTTTTCCTGGGATAGTGTGGAGTCTTCTGTCTCGGAGGCATGCCATTGCATGGCATTGACCCTGCCCAACTTCATGGTCGTGAGAATTGTTGAGACACCAAAACTTTGCCCAAGCTTGTCAAGTACGCCTACAGCACTGTAGATACGAATGCTGACCCATGGATGCAAGGTGCATCATATTCAGCAGAGTATTTGGTTGCATTTCAACATCATGTCACATTTCTTGCACCAGATGGAGTCAGATAGTAGACTTTCTTCTATGATTTGTTCTCCCTGCAATGTTCTACCTATCTGGGTTCAAAGGAGGCAGCCAACATCTCATTAGCATTGGTCCTCAAATTTGCTTTTTTTTTCGTTACCCTGAAAAATCATCGTGCCAGGATATGTTAAAATTTGCACAGTTGGTGCATTGCCAGACAACAGCAATCACCTTTTATTTGACTTGACTTGACTTGACATTTTTTGTGAAACCTTTTGAGGAATAGAAAAGCTACAGCACAGGCCACTTTTTTTTCATCTTCAGTGTATCAAACGCTGCGATGTACTGCAAATGTTGGTGTTGTTGAAAGCCATCATTGCTTCGGAAGAATTGATTCAGTGTAATGTGGGGGGCAAGAACAGACTCAGGCCAATTTGATGCACGGGTAAAGGCATTGTGTATGCACATGCAGAAGAGCTCATACCTGTTTGGTATGTGCAGGAGATTTTTTCTTGTCCTCTCGCCATGAGCTTGGAAACACTCGTCATGGTAAGCATTACCCAATGGCAAGACGTGCATGGTTGCCATGGCCCTTTCGATGATAGCTGATATGCCACCTTGCCAATTTTCCTTTACATGTGTAATTAACTCTTGCATTCACATCCATTGAGTCTCCCTGTGCATGCCTATGTTGCAGGCGGAAGGCGCTTCTGCAGACTGCTGTTCAATTCTTAAATACTTCGGAATCCACTCATGCGGGTTGTGGCAAAGTGTTTGCAATTGTGCCGCTGCTGACTCACGTTCCTGGGGTCACACGGGCCTAGCAAGGCTGAATCTTGGCTCGGACACTGGACTGTTTGGTTGCACACCTCTAGAAAACGTTTCAACAAGCCAAGAAGATGGAATCGAGAAAGAAAATACTGGCACAGAACAGTTCCATCCACAAACAGGGTCTTGGTGCCCAATGAATCTATGTGTGATGCATAACAGGCGGCAGCGCTTGCATGAGCTACAAATTGACAATAGGTGTCAGCGTAGTCTGTGGAATTTAACATGCAATAGAGTGCCATGTTTCGATTCAGCACTTGGCATCACAAGAGAATTTGACAGCTGGAGTGACTACTATATGGCCAGGGGCTTGCCACTCGATTCTCCTGCAGGTGTGCATTTTTATGGAGGTATCATGCGCTCGTGCCATGTGACTGCTTTGCCAAGTTTATGGAATCGCTTTCCTTGAAGAAAGATAAACTGCCACGACAAATATCATGATGCTGCAGATGCCCTGAATTAAGGCAACGTGCTTTACAATCAACTGCACGGGAATGAAGGAATGAGAGTCTGCAGCCAACCATCGCAGTAGGGGAACACGAATGGTGTCGCACTTGGGGCTGCAGTGTTCCAACCATTTGTGTGTCATTGCTGGCAGCACTGCTGCTGCATCACCCACTGACACTCCACTACGCCCTTATGGCAACAAATCCGAGCAGCCGAGTGCGCATGGCTGGCACCACGTGCATTCACTATCTTGGTGAGTGGTGATGTGTTCTTGTTCTGTCAGCTTGTAATTGTACCAGACACTGAGACGCCCAACAGCCTATCAGCTGACATGTGCCTGCGTGCCTGTACACCAAATCTTTCATGACAGTGCGAAATTCCAAAACTGGAGAACATGGTGCGGGAAGTATCGTATTTTCGTTATGCACATATCTGAGCTCCCTTCCACCTACCTCTTCCCCTGTCAGTGAACGCCGGATATGTAAGTTCTTGTTGCCCTAGAGTGCATTATATCCATTGTGGCCGTCGTTGTATTATAGCAATGCCGCAACAGCAATTATGCCATTCATGCCAAGTGCGTCGCACTTGCCACACAACACAAATTAATGTCAAACGCATAATAAGTGGCGTTCATTCAAAACTCAACTTGAAGTGTATAATGATGGACGCTGTAAACTACAAGTAATTTGTCGAAAGCCGTTGAATTTTGGTGTGGTACATGTGGCGTACATGAGTACCCTGTTTTTATGAAATAGAGGTATCTTTTTCAGTCGACTTGCCAAAATCGACAAATTGGCGTCAACGTCGATCGCCATTTGTAATGACGAAGGCAGACAGGATCGAGGGCTGGCGATCCCTGAACGGGAATCGTACGCTCGAGTCAACGGCAGCGGTTTACAGCCGAGGCAAAAGGACAACAGGCTTTCTGTCCTTTGTATTCAGTCCGTTCATCAACATCCTTAATGCAATTCCTAGTGCTTCATCATCTTGTCATGCGTTCAGCTAATAATAACACTCAATCAGTTCTAGCCGTAACAGTAACAAGTGGCACGTTTGCTCCCCACGACCTGTTCGCTACGAATCCCTGTATCGCATCCTCTGTCGGCTTGTCCAAAGGACCAGACGCTGAACCTCTGTCCATCCGTGAGCGGGCGGGCGGTCTTGGTGAATGGTGCCCGACAAAATTCTGCCGGATCTTTCCACTATCAACGAGCCAATAGTCTCTTTCCCTATACTGCCTCTGTTTCATAGGTCATGTCCGATCTCAACTTTGCCCGAACGGAGGTCAAAACGTGCGCGTCAGGGAATTTGACCGAAACAACTTCGAAGCGTCATATCAAGAGCTATTCGCAGAGCCCTCAGACGTTCCAAATGATGCAGCCGTTATTGTGATATGCCAAGAGGAGCTGAAAGACGATTTTTCATTTTTCGGGCATTGGATGGGATACAGCATGTTTTCCTTGCCCTTAAGAAGAGCTGGATTGACCTTGAGCTATCGCAAGGAGAGATATATGCTTAGGTGGTTTGGTGCCCACTGAAGATCCAGCTTGATCTCAAACAGAATCTGCAAGGAAAAGGATTTGGGTCCGCTGCAAAATTTGTGATAATAACAGCATCTGCGTTCAAATGACGGTGAAAGGCCAAGAGACATCTTGACCATTGCAAGAGCATCTAACTTTCAGATGTGCCAAGGTTTTGAAAGCCGCACATACTTGCATCAACCTAGAAGACGCCCTAGATTGGAGCAAACACGGCCAATTGTTGTAAACAAGAATGTTGGCAGCACGATTCAGCATACTGGAAGGGATGATCCCCAAAAGTGTGATAGCAATGGTATCAAAATGTTAAAAGGGCGTAGTACTACCTACCTGTTTTCTATAAAAAGGTTTGCAATGAGTTTTGGTACATTGGGTTGGGACATACCAGACTATGGCCAATGCAACAATGCGGGGAATTGGGGCCCTGCATGGAATTGAACAGCTGCGTTATTGAAAAGGTTGTCAAATGCCAAGTTGTGTGGTGGTGGCTAACGTAGAAAGATCCATATCAAGCTAAAATCAACCAAAGAATCCAAATATGGTGGCAGATTCATTGATTGAGTTGATCTTGCCAAGTTCTCGTAAAATTCGAGATCGGACACGACTTATGAAACGAAGGTAGTATTTCTTGACATCGCAATCGTCGAGTCGCTGATGCTGTATCTGCAACCCCCACCGCAATGGTGTCTGCTGTTAAGAACGGTGAAGTGTTATTGCCTTGTTGGCGATGTGTCCACTCTATAAAAAACGTCAGTCCCCAGTTCCAAGCTTTCGAAGCACACTGGCCAGCAGTCATCAGTTATTCTGGGCATGGTGTGGAGGTGGATGTGCAGTCGGTGGACCAGCAGATACGAAAGAAAGTGCTGGAGGATTGCCAGTCTTCATGGTGATAAACTCTTGCGATAGCTGGAATTGGTTTCATGGTGCCCTGTAGACCGTGATGGCGATAACGTTCGTTGGTCACAAAGTCCCGACTTTTGAATGCGTGAGCCACTTCACGCGCATATCCCGTCGTACAGGGCGAACCTCCGCACCAGAAAGGAACTGAAGTGACGTCAGGATCATTGTCCGTTTTCCATATGCAATGACGACTGCAACCTATGGAGGCGACTGCCGCAAGGTTGGAAAATGAACGGCACAAGTAGATATGGTGTTGGGCAATCGCCACTTGTTAGGAATGGTCCATCAGGCCGTCGTGATGCTCCCTCATGAAGAGCCTGCCCCTCCTGCCCTCCTGGCTAGCTGGTGATTCCCGTTGCTCGTTTTGGTCCAACGTTCGAATGGACACAGGTGTGATTTTGTACTTTTTGTGGGCGTCGATTGACGTCGAATGAGCGCCAAGGCACTTACACAAAAGGCGCAAAACGCGCACATGTCTGCCGACAATTGTTGTGAAACGCGAGGTTTTGCCTCCTTGCCCACATGTGTACATTTTGAACGACCTCTGTTGTCCCCCCAAGGCGGGTTCGTGTTGATGTCGATGTTGACCTGCGGCCAGGCCCCCAGAGGGAACTGGACGCGATAGAGTCGTTCACGGAGCTGGGCTGCCTCCTGCCCGCGCACCACATCCGTATCGTCTTCGTCGGCCCGGACGTTCCCCACGCGTTGGACGGCGCTTCCCTGCTGCGCCCCTCCCCGCGCGTGCCCCTCTGCGGCAACGTCGCCTGCAGCTGCGCGGCTACTGCCCGCGAGCCAGTCTCGGACGGCACGAGCCGGTCGCGCACTCCAGCCGCCTCAAGCGTCGACGAGGCGGGCATCGGGGATCGCGACGCGTTCCCGGGGTGGGCCGGATCGCAAGGCAGCCTGCGAATGGATTTTCATCGCGGCTTGTATCACGATTGGATCGGCGGGCTCGCCGAGGAGGGGGCCGAGCAAAGGGCGCCGGACCTCGTCTTCGCCGCCAACGCCGGCCTGGAGGCCTACGCCGGCTGGCGCCCGTCCCTGGAGCGCCTGGAGGCCGGTGTGCCGCTCGTTGTGACGGACTACTGCGAGGAGGCGGCGGCGAGGGCGGGCGTCGTGCTGGGGGCCTTGGGCCTAAGGGTTCGGAGCGTAGGGCTGAACCCATTTCGGCAGCCCGTGAGGGACCGGAGGGCTGGGAACAATCTGCCCAGCTGCAGCAACGGTTTCGTGCTCGTGGCGGAGAGGGCGGGCTCGAGGCGCGGGGGCCATGCTTCGTGGGATGGTTGTGTAAGGTCGTCGTGATCCGCCAAGAGTTGGATCCTGGGGCCCGGCGTTGGTGGGAACTTGGGGTTGGGAGCACCTGCACGTTAGTGTTCTCATCGGTGCATCTGATGAGCCAGTTACGACGTGCGCTGCCTGTTCTTTGGGGCTGCTGCGAGTCGAGGGCAAGGAATGTCGATTGGTGCAACGCAGGGAGCAGTGGGCGGTGCAGTGATTATGACGGCGATGGGAGCGAGGGCAGCATTCAGTGCAATGTGAAGTACAGCTTTTAGTGACAGAAAGCGCGGAAGCTTCTTGAGAACGTCATCTTCTTCATACCAAGTCCCTTCCCTGAACTTTGAATGGTGTCCAACAGACAACAAAATTGAACAGTCTTGAAGGGGATGCCGTTGATCGGTGATGCGATTCAAACGGCTCCCTTTGGAGTGCACACGGGAAGCACGAATACACGGTCGCCAATGCTTCAACGGCGTTGGCACACGGCCAGATGCAAGGCCACAACCACACACCAAACACCCGGAGCTTACAAATGTGTTCGCCCTTCCGACAACGAAGAGCCTTGCCGACGGTGGCAACGACCTCCGCAACCGAACAATTCGAATCTCCTTGCACTGACAGAACTCCCTCTTCCACGTGACAAGGACAATCATCCATCACCAACCAGCCATACGACACTTCAGAGACGCCCACTCATCGCCACAACACAGCCTACTCCATAAAACATATGCCAAAGGATCCCATACACTCAATGATAACGTAGAAATGTTTCAACTGTGAGTGTGACCCCAACCATAGCAATTGTCTCTAAATCAGATGACATCTCCCACAACAGTCAAATTGATGCTCACAAAAGTCCCATCATGTGAAAAATAATTCTAAAACACATTTTTCTTTTCTTTTCACAGGTTCAGAACGCCTCGCATATTAAACTACATTCTTGAAGTGTACACAAGTCGCACACCATAATGCATGAATGGCCCACCCGGTGAAACGGTGGTCGTTATGCGGTGTTGCGAACAACAAGTGTATCGTACCGTATGAATTGAATATCATGTGTATCGAGTGTATCGTACCGTATGAATATCGTGCAGTTAGCGCGTTCACCGCGTCCGCCACGTCGGTGCCCGGCAAGCTTTTTGTGGAAATGGCGATGTCAGTGTCCAATGGGAACGTTGGACGCGTTACCACAGTCGCTGGGGGTGTGAAGCAACAGCAGCGTCCGACGAGGATACGAATATGGCGGGAACATATACGGTAAGATACCGCGCCACAGTACGTCGATCATGCCTCAGTCATCGCGTCCAGACCATCGCTTGGCTCAATGCCTGTTCCAAACACCATATCTCCCGCATCGGCACGCGGCGCTGAAGGGACCGCGACATACCCCAGTCGCGTGGTGCCGTGGGGCAGGAGCTCCGGACAGCGAATCGCCAGGACCTCCCCCGTCTTGGCCCTCTTTTCCGGTGACGCGCTGAGCGGAACAGCCGGTCGGGGAAGACGGCCGGAGGGATGAGACGGCTCCTGTCGGTGGCACTGGCGCTGGCCGCCCTGGTCGTCCAGGCGGCAAGCCACCACGAGATTGATTTCACCGTCTGCGAGGACGCCCCATTCGTGCCCAGCTCGGTGACCCTGGACCCATATCCGCCGCACCCCGGCTCGGAGATCGTCCTCCAGATCGAGGGGGTGGCAGGTGGGGCTTGCAGCCTGGCTGAGGGATTGTATGGTGGCCCTGCGGGTCTGAGCAGCCAGCTTCGAAGCAAGGAGCAGCGTCCCATGTCCCTATTTCATGCGCGCTTTGTGGCTTTCGTGGGGTTCGCCTTGCGCCCCGGTTGACGCTGGACGGATGGGGCGCGGGGGGAGGGTCGTGTGTGAGGCAGTGGCTGCCGCCGGACCCCCGCTGAGTTTTCCAATGGCTACCTCCCGTTGCTGGGGGCATTGGCAGGGAAGGCGTCCCACGGGAGAAAATTTCCGTCTGCTCCCGTCCCGCCCCCCCCCCCCCTGGCCCTTTTCTCCACCCGTCGTTGCCCCGCTGCCCGTCCCTCATGTTGTACTGTGCCGCGGACGTTGATCCCCGACTAGTGAAGTTTTGGCTGCCGCGGGCCTCAGGATGTCGTTCTGGAGTGCCTGGTTGCCCTCGCTCAAAGCATCTTGTGTGGCCCGCCACAGACCACACAATGGAAGGTGGAGAGTTCTATGCCGATGTCACCTTGGTTGTGTACCACCATCACATACCCATGTACAAGGAGAAGAAGGATCTGTGCAGGCAGACAGCCTGCCCGATCGACGAGGGCAACGTGACTTTCACATATGACAAGGTTCTGCCTCCGGCTGTCCCTGCGGTGAGTCACCACGCAGGGTGGGTCTCCGGATGGGTCTGGGAGTTGCACACCCTAAATTTTTTCTTGTTGCAGGGCGTGCCTTTTGACGGACGGGTGGGAAATGTGCCGATATGGGGCTTGCTGTACCTGCCTGGGTTGGTCGCAGCAACTCTTCAGTCCCTAGCTTTGTCCTGTGTGGACAAAGCTGTGCCGATTCTTGCTGTATATATTAGGGAGTTTGCCTGGTGTGCAGAGGCTTCAACGTGTGGTGTCTCCATTCTGCAGTGTGCGTATCTTTTTAACAACTTTGCTGCGGCTTGCAGGGGTTGTACAATGTGAACTTGCAAGCAGAAGACCTGGATGGGAACCTGGAGATGTGTCTGGACTTGAGCTTTCACATCACATACTTTACAGAAGTGTGAGCGTGTTGCTCCTCCCTACGGGGACCCAATTGTGGTGCCAAATGGGAAACATACCGAGGTAGATGTGGCACAGTTGGAAAGGGCGCTCCACCGAAATGAGCTTAAAGGGGGGCCAGCACCAGCTGACATTTAAGAGAAGCTCCCTGGCAAAGCCCGACACTCTGTGATTCAGGAGAATGTTGGTATTTTGCATAGAGGTGCGGTCATGCAGCAACAAATAGGTTGCTGCCCAAAATTAATGCAGTGTGCTAGTGGCCAGGGATGGGATAGTTTTGTCAATACTTGGTCAACAGGTTGCTCAGCGTTGCTAGCAAAATGCTGCTTCCTTTTCGTTGAGTTGTAATTTTGGGACGTCATAGCGGTCTGTGGATTGCCTCCACCGATAGAGTATTGCAGGTTGTGACATTACGACAGGTTTTCCTTTGCAAACATGCCGCACAATTGTATACTTTGTATTGTGAAGCACGACTTCTCCTGTGGGAGCCCTGTTGTGGGTTGTGCTGTACCGTGTTGGCATTCTCTGGTGACGATTTGGTGCTGTATGGGGTGCCTACTGGGGTTCCAGGATACAGCATTTTGATGTGAAAGCTGGTTTCAAGGGTGTGTAGGTCCATGAAATTTGCTACCCAGAGATGTAAGGTTGACAGTGTGCTTCCACAATGCAGGATACTGCGCTTCCCCTGTAAGAATCAAATGGAAAGCCCATGGTGATGTTGTTAAAGGACACGTGTCCGCTCAGTGCATCAGAGTTGCACATTTGGGTAGTGGGTCATGCAGCCATGAATCACCAGGCTTGCTTGTGGCTGAGGCGTTCCCCCAGGATTGTTGCTTCAGTCAAATCCTGTACAACAAGAATTGGCAAGTCGCCTTCGCTTGCAAGCGTTCTTACAGGGCCAGAAGGCTGTGTTGACAACACCTGCCAAATCTCAGATCACTGCTCTTGTGTATTTTGAACGAAGTTGGCGTCCCCTCGTGCGGATCCTTGGCAAGAAATGCCTCTTGGCTTCGGCGCTGCTTTTGTCAGGTGCAGAACCTGGGACGTTAGCTTCACATTTTGAAGCACAATCCTTGCTTGGCCTCCAACACACTTGAGCCGGCGGCTTGCATGGCCATGGATGTCATAGTCGCCGTTGCAACTTCCGTAGTCTGTCTCATCCGCTGAAAACAGTACCATTCAATCTGTGCATTGCAGCAGCATGCGTCCCTCCCCTCGTGCACCAGTGCATAGTGCTCAACTGATTCCGTCATGATGGGCGATCAGCCTTCGAAATGAGCGCAGGCGAATGAGAATTCGATCTCGAATCGCCGATCCACAAAGTATACACCCGTCGCCAGTCGACGGGTACAACGATTGTCAGTGATGAGGTAGTGTTCAGAACTGCGATATGCAGTGGCTGATGCCAACCAACCTTCGATTTGAATTCAGGGCTTTGCTTCTAGTCGGCGACCTCGTTAGTGTCGGAAACGTAGGCACGCTTCGCAGCAAGTGCTCCTCTTTCGCCAAGATGTGATCCGACCCGCGTCGGGCTCAGGGATCTCTTGCGAGTGATGTCGAAGAAACAGGGCAGTTGCGAACAGAGTGCGTGAGGCACGGGGGAGAGTAGATCACAATGGAAGGGGCTTACAGTCTCAGTAAGCGTCCCCAAGAGTGGGGCGCAGCTTCTAAATAGTCCAAACGGGCTTGGATCAGGTCAACGGATCCTTGGTGCGTTCATCGTTACTCTTGGCAAATTCCCACACCTAGGAAGCTTCCAAACAACTAGCGTTCCAAGAGTGTTCATGATTGTTCATTCGCACGAGGCCAGCCATATCTAATCAGTTTCGTCCTTCTCCCATGGTGTGGTAACTACAAGGCAACCCAACCAAGAGAGACCCAATATCGACCTGTCAAACACAATCTAGGTCAGGTCGCATCTTTGCTCAGCCAAGGTGCGTCAGCACGAAGGCGTTTCATAGCCGCGTCATCATCGTCTTCGTCATTTTGTTTTCGCCGCTTTGTGGAAGGCGGTATCGAACCAATCCTTACTTGTACGGCGACTTCCCTCGTGGCTTGCTGGCCGAGCGGAGGCCTCATCCGCTCGACAAGGAACCACTGCCAGGTCGTCATCCCTCCGTCTTCAACAGACCATAGTTCCCCTGTGGCTCGTGGCACAATGAGACAAAGCTCCATGGCCTTTGACCACAGAGGACTGTCAACTCGACTAGTTGAACGCCCTCGACGTCGACGCCAGCTCCTGCGAACCCAACCTCTTAGCAGTTGTACGAGTGCCAGCGCTCCCATACAAGGCCAAGGTTTGTCCGGCCCTGCATTCGACGGCAAAGGAACGAAGTTGTCATCTTCCTCGGCCTTGCAACTAGCGCCTTGGAATTGCCTGCTCACAACCGTTTGAACCGCCTTGTCTGGCAGCGCTTTGAGGTATCTCGCGATCTCGTTTCGAAACCAGTCGTTGTGTGTCATCCCTGGAGCCCATTGCCCCAGAAACTCCTCAGCGCTGACCGGTATTCTAAGACGGACGTCGATGAGCCAGCGGGCAACTTCTGGTTCATAGCCGACCAACAGCCAGGACTCCACGTTGATCAGGGGGAACCATAACTAGTGGCGAAGAAGCCTTTCTATATCAGCCAACTGTTCGCGACACCGCATAATGACCACCGTTTCACTGGGTGGATCACTTATGCATTATGGTGTGCGACTTGTACATATTTGTACATTACCACTGAGTGTCTGGGCACCTTTGACATATGTTTTATAAAGTAGGCTGCATTGCGGCAATGCATAGGCATATCTGAAGTGTTGTGTGGCTGGTTGATGATGGTCGTTGTTATGTCAAAAGAAGAGTTCTGTGGGTGCTAGAGAATTCGAATTGTTTGGTTGCGGGGGTCGTTGCCACCGTCGGCAAGGCTCTTCGCTATGGGAAGGGCGAACAAATATGTAAGCCCTGGGTGGTTTGTATGTGGTGTGGCCTTGCATCTGGCCGTGTGCCAACACCATTGAAGCATCGGCGATCGTGGAATCGCGCTTCCCATGTGCACTCCAAAGGGGGCCATTTGAATTGCATCAACGGCCTTTCCTTCAAGACAACATTATCTCAGGTTGCAAAGCCATCGCTGCACCGCGCTCGACTCGACAACCGCCCAGCCAGCCACAGCAGTGCCCAGTTGTGTCAATTAACTGACGAACCTTAGTCCAAGAAGAGGGTATCTTCTTGTCATGATCCTGTTCATCATGTTAGCGGTGTACAGGGTTCCTCAGAAGTCTAGCGGATGTGTCAATGGCGGAAGACCGTCTGAGGCGTTGAACGTGCAATGGCAATTGGCATTTCACATATTTTCTGACTCGTTTGTCAATCATTTGCTGTTGTGTTCTCTGCTTTTCCTATCGAGCACCCGTTTAGCATAAGTGACCAATATAATGACTGGCCATTATGCAGTAACTCGAACAATAGACACTTTTCCGTGTTTTGCGACCACGTTGCGCATCCCAGAAAATATAGGGCATGACATCCAGAGAACCACGCCTGTTTGCCGCACAAGCTCGGGAGGTGGCCAGAGGCTAGCCCCCATGATGCCGAAGAAGGCACAGCCACAATTGACAAACCTGCGCATGGGCAACAAAGAGTTGGCACGACGTTCCCTCAAGTGCACCCATGCACACACACTTTTCACTTGATAGGATGATCTTCCCACCTGAGTCCACACTGGCCAAACGCGCTACCAATTTCCCCAGCGAGTGTCCGTCATCCACACAAGCCAATTGACCATCGTATAAAGTTTGCTGTTGCCCCGCATTCCAAACCAGAGCACTATTCCCCAATACTTACCACTTCACAGATTCCGCCATTCCAACCGAAGTCACACTCCAAATGAGGGCGAGTGGGAGAGCAAAACAAGATACTGGCGGTCGTTGGGGGCTCCCCATAAATAGGAGGCACCCACCGACCCCAAAAGTGCGCCAAGTCTTCCTGCGCAAACGTCAAGCCGTGGCTCCCTTCAACAGCATCCCCTGCCTTTTGGCTCACGTTCGCCTCACCGACCATGGGGGCCTAAAGGTCCCGACACCAGGTCGTCCGCCCCCGTGCGGCACGTCAGCGGGACCGCTGACGTGTTCATGTCTCCCACCCACTTCCCCCTGGGCGGAAACTCATCATCTACGCTGATCCCCTGAATGCCATGGGGGGTTTTCTTCCTTGCAGCGGCCCAAGAAAGTCACAGCGGTGCGGCGCCACGTTCCGCGCAATTCTGGGCCTAATGCTCGCCTGGAAAACCTAGCAAACCCATTGCCACCCGTCGAGTCCAACCAACCAGGGCCACCATGCATGGCAACTTCCAACACCAACGCGTCGTCCCGGCGTGTCTTGGGGCCCCTGCATGATGAGTTTGCGCGCAGCGCTGTGCACAGATTGGGCTGCAGGCAGGCCCTGGCGCATTGCTGGCCGCGCCCGCCCCATGCCGGCCCCCGTCACCGTGCGTGCCTCTGCGCCTGAGTGCGACCCGCGAGCGCCGACGCGCCCCGGCGGCCGCCGGCATGCAGACGCTGAAGCGCCGGCGCGTGGAGCACGCCCTGGGGCCCAGGGGGCGGGACGCAAAAATGCCCACGTCGCTGATGTACGCGCGGGACAGCCAGACCGCAGCCGAACGCAGGTGGGCGGCCGGGGAGAGCGCGCGCGAGATGGCTGAGCGGGTGGGGGGAGGCATGGCACCGCCGCGGTGGTGGGTGGAAGGGAAAATGGGGCCCAGATAACGTGACGACGGGGCGAGTCTGGGCGTTGATCGATCAATTTTGTGGTCGACTGGGTGTCGACCGAAGCGCGGGTCGCCTGTGGGCGGATCTCACGCGAAGGGTTCCGACGCGGGGCGCTCAGGCCGTCGGGCGGTTGTTATGGCGGCGCAGGCGGCTGCTCGTCGAGGCCACGAAGGGGGAGTTCTTTCCGCGCCACCTGACGCTGCTGCGCGAGAAGGAGTTCCCGCTGGAGGAGTGGCCTTCGCGGCGGTATGTGGGGACGCGACGCCCTCGACGGCGCCGGACGCACCCGATGGGCCTGCCTCTCCTTCCGTCGTCAACACCGCGCACATGTTTGTTTGACCACGACCCTTGTCCCCCATTTTCCAGCGGACCTGGCTTTCCGGTAGATGCTCTCCAGACTTCTGACGCGCCGAAAAGCGGGCCTGAAGGTGCCAACTTGCGAGCGCTCAACTCAATAGCCCCTGTCTCACTCCCAAGGTCATCTCTTGGTCTGAATGCCCGACGTCTCCTGCCGATCACCAGGTGCCCACCCTCGCAGGTGTGGCTCTCGCACAGCGAGCTGCTGGTGGGCACCAAGTGCAACAGCCTGCTGCGGCTGGACCCGGAGCGCGCCACCGCCACGAGCGTGCCCCTTCCGCAGGTGGAGGCCCGCCACAGCGGCGCCGGCGACCGCCTGAGCTGTGGCATCCATGCCATCGCCATCAACCCCTCCCACACGATGCTGGCCACGGGTGGCGCGGAGCCCGAGGACTGCGCCGTCCTGGGCCTGCCCAATTTTGAGCACTTGCAGACGATGCGGGTGCGAAACGCGTTTGCGCAATTCTACCCCCGCTCACCCCTTTCCCCTCTCTTGTTGTGTGCTGCCCTACTGAGCGGTGATGTGTTGCTGGCGTCCCCCCTGTGCTTGTACGGACCGCTCTTTTGAAGCCTGTTTTTTCTGGCGTAGCAGGGAGCTGGAAGGGGATCTCGCTGCCTAGGATCATCATGTCTCTTGATTGAGATCTGTTTTGGGACTCCAGGGGCATGATGACTGGGTGTTTGGCATCGCCTGGCTCACCGATCGACACTTGGTCACTGGTGAGTGCCCTAGGTGCTGAAGATTGTCATCTTAACGTGTGCATACTTGCAGTCAGAATAGACTTATGAGTGCATGATACATTCGTATGCATGCTGCTGGGTGCCCTGCACTTTCCTGTTACATTCAAAGGCTTCTGCACCATCTTTCAGATCATGGAACAGAGTCTGACAAATTACTTTTCTGAGGATAGGGACGCCCACCATGTGTTACTTTCTCCTTGTGCTGCTGTTCATCTTACACATGGACAAACCAACTCAGAGCAAAGTTGTCTGCAGCCAGCCACCATTCCATTGGTGGATCCAAAGAAGTTCCCCCAACTGCTCTGGCAGCCAGACAAAGAAGCAATGATTTGCATATTACGTTATCTTTCTCATGCCCAGGAACTCTCAGAATTTTGTTTCTTTCAATATATTGACCAGTGCTTGCCTGCCCAGGGTCAAGAGACAGGAAGGTAATGCTGTGGCAAGTCGATTCAGAGAAAGGAATGGTGAACAAGACGCCCAGGGTGTCTCGAAAAGTCCACAAGGTGTGGTGTGGTTGTCATTGTGCACACCAGGACATGGCTTGTACAGCAGTGATGGCAGTGGTGGACATAAAGAGTCCTGTGCTGATGCTTTGCTGCTGCTGTCATGTTGCTGCCACTATTTTCTCCAAGTATTGGTGCACAAATAGGAGAAGATCCAAGAGTGGCTTGTCTTGTGGGGTGTTGCTATTGGAAATTTTAAATACAGCAGCAGCTGTATGCTGCCGTAATTTGAACTGGATTTGTGGAGATTCAACATTAATCAGCAGCACGTCTCCACCCGTGCAGTTAATGTCCATGGTGTCCCAACCTCTTGAATGGGGTTAAAGATGTCCAGCTGAAACGTAGAAAACAATTATAGGGAAAAGAGAAGCCCAAGTGAATTGTGCTTCTCTTGGTGTTTTCTTCAGGGCAAGGTGCGAGATGTAAAGTACATCCCGGAAGTCAGAAAGCTGGCAACGATCAGCAAGGATGGCAATCTGCGCATATGGGACCCGGAGCTGAATGGCGTGCGGGCGGTATGGTGGTGGTGGTGCTGCTGCTGCTAGATGGGCTGAACTGTTGATCCTCCAGTTTGTTCCTTGTGCTCATAGCAGCAGTGTGCCTGATGACACCAGCACTGATTGCTGGGATTTGGCTGCATGACACCCAGATTTCCCTTGCTGGAATCTTTGTTCAACAGTTGATCCTGCAGCCTTTGGTTGCCCGAAATACAGCTGATGTGGAACTCATCGGCCCCCACAAGGTTCCACGAGTTTTGTTGTCACCAGCACGTTTTTTTGAATTTCCTGGACATGTTAACCTGAGAAACGTAAACTAGCCTGATGAAGGTTTCTATGAACATCAGCCTCGATTTTTTGTCTATTTTTAGGTTTTTCAAATAATTGTCTAGATATTTGACTTCATGCTTCAAATGTATCATAACAAGGGGAGTATTGGACGTTCTTCTCATGATGAATACTACTTCACAGCACAGTGGCAACTGTGGTTGATGGGTGTTGTCAGATTGCATTGCAACCTGCCAGAAATGTTGTGTCTCTGTCCCATACCAGCAGTGTCCCAACAGGTCCCCGTTCTGCTGTCTCTTCTCCTGAATGGGACTTGTGTTGTCTGCCTATAGTGAGTGTATCAAGCTTGGCATGACGTTTACTCACGCATTGTTCTGTTCCAGATGTTGACTATGCACCTGTGAGATGTATTTTTGTCAATCAGCACGCAAGTTGTTCGTGGGGCCACATGAAGCCACTGTTTCCTCAAAAGGTGCACAGTGTTTTCACAGCTTCACGACAAAGACCATCCCACACAGTCTGAGCCCTGATGTGTGCACCAGTTGAATCTGGAAGGCCCGGATGGCACTGTACCAGACATGGAGGGGGACGTCGTCTGCATGGCTGTCCAGGAGAACGTACTGGCAGTGGGCTCTGGTGCCCAAGTGAGCCTGGTGGACGTTCGTGGCAAACAGCGAATCCATAACATCAGGCTCTGTCATGGAGACTACGGAGTGAGGTCCCTTGTCTTCCAGGATGATGTGCTCTCCCTTGGGACAAGCCGGGGATGGCTATCTTTCATCAGCTTGCGGTGCATGGACTTCTTGCCCCTCAATCATGGGGATCTTCCCAAAGGCCGCAGTGCATGGAAGTTGCACCACGAGGTTGGGAGCGGCTGGCTGGACGAATATGACAGGTGCGCACATAAAGCTGGACTGGCTCACCTTGCCAAGTGCAGACCATGGTGGTTGATGGCTCACAAGTCAACAAGTCACAAGTGAATTTGTGCTCTGCTTTTGCAGTGGCTGTCATATGTGGCCTTTTTGATTTGGAATGGTTCTGCACGACTGAACATCATGCTACCTTTCCATGCATCGGCAGAACTCCGAACCTGAATGCTGCTGCCTACGTGGGGCATTGCTCGCGTCTCAGGCACAATGTGGCGGCTTCCCAGCTTCCTTGTCGTGTGAATAGCAGACAAAGTGACCAATTGACATGGCATTGACAGGAATTGAATCGGCATTGATGGCGGAAATATTGATAACAGTTTTGCAACTCCACTAACAGTGCTGTGCGAGTATGCAGGGAGTACTTCAGTGAAATGCTGGCCACCAATGCAGTGTATGCCCACTGCTGGGACCCCTCCAGCGACTGCCTGTTCGCCTGCGGTGGCCCACTGGCGTTCGGTCTCGATGGGTGCTACATGGGATTGTGGAGGTGACGAAGACTGGTGGGCCTTTCTCTTGAGACCCATAGTCACCAGAGCAGTGGGGGAGGGACAAAAGGCGCAGCGAGAAAACGAAAACCAAACTAACCTAAAACCAAGCTAAACTGAATATAGGCGGACGTGGTGGTCCAATAGTAGGACAGTGCTCCTTTGTGTATGTGTGAGTGCATGTGTGCAAGCCGTGCTGGCTTGCGAGCAGGCTAAGCCCGTTTTGGGCCATCTACATGCAGCCGGCATTCAAACGGTGGTGTAGGAGACACCAGGGATGTGGTTCAATGGGGAACCAGAGAGTGTGGAAACGAAGGTTTGATGAATGATCAACGCGGAAGTGGATGACGGTACAAGTGGAAAAACTGTATCAATAGCTTGTGCTTTGTTTGGGAACGACGTTCTGTGTTTGTGCGTCTAGTATCATGGACCATAAATAAGTCGCCTTCTTTAGTCTTGGACTGGCACGCTATGTGGCCAAACACAAGGCCAATGCGGATACAATCGGCATGCAAACAGCGCCGTAGCCTTGTTGCCGAAAGTCCTGAGCTCTTTAGTAGTTATTGGACCCCAATTCAACCACCGGAAAACCCGGAGAAACCGCAGCGAGATGATGACCTTGATTTATTTATCAGTGGCGCTGTTGAACAAGCGCGGGGTCTCGTTTGTTGTATAACACATATGTGAGACGCAGCCCCGGAAAAGTGTCCGACCCAAAAAGAAAAGCCACCTAAGGCTCCCTCTCAGGGTTGGACTGCTCATCAATTTTGCAAACGAGTCGTGTCCTTTGGCCGGGACCTGGGGCCCCTCATCCCCGCCCTCCTGCCTTCTGCGTATCTGGCACACAAGCCCTCCCGCCTCCCCACGGTGTGGCGCACGGCTTGGCAGGGGTGGCGCCAAGATCGCGGGCGGAGGAGGGCGTCGAAAGGGCTCCAGCCTAACAACACAAGACGCCGCCACCTGGTGCGCTCCACCAGGCTGGGCCTGCGCCCTCTTGCGGGGCACCCGACCGTCCGCGCACCTCCGAGCGCGCCAAATTTGGCATTGAAGCCACGGCGCCGCGGACAAGGGCGCTTGCCTCGCATCGCGTTTCTCCCCCCGTCGAGCATCCGACGTCTCGGGGGCGATCTATCGATAGGAAGGTCGGCGAAGGGGGTGGCCGCGATCACCGCGCTGCCTCCGGGATCCCGCGCGTCCGGTCGGCAAGGGATTCGTCGTGGAATGCCTCTGTGGATGCGGCGCCATGCCTGCGGCGGGCGCGCGGCGCGAGGGCTGCTTCCTGCGTCGGACGGCGCCGAGCTGGTGGGAGGCGCGGGAGGCTGCTTGCACTTCTGCACATCCAGCCTTGCTCACTGTGTTCGTTGATTCTAGCCTTCCTGCTTCATGCAGCACCAGCCATCCTCTCATGCAGGTGGCAGAAGACTGGTCTGGTGTCCGGGACGTGCTGACAGGTGTGTGACGTTCCGTAGGTGGATCCGTAGTTGATAGGGGTCAGAGATGGATTGGCCACAACAAGGTCACTGGCATGCTCCTGTGAAGTCCGGGTTGTGCAGTTGGGAACAGCTAGACCCTGGCCCATGCCGTTCTCGGCTGTTGTGTAAGTAAAATGACGTGGCAGGTTGCTGCCTCCTGGGCTGTTGGATGATATTGTTTTGCTATTCAACTTCAGATTATTTTATCACACTGAAATTTCTTCAGTCAAAGTTGGGCGTCCACCACAGCAGTGACACTGCCGCCAAGGAAAAAGAAAGCATTTAATGCAGGTGTTTCTTGGTTGCACTGGTTGCTAATGCCTGTGCGCTTTCAAGGAGGGAGATCAGTGGTGCAGTCGCCTGGGCAGTGTGACCGATGGCACCATTATCTGCTGGTAACATGCCGGGAGTGTTGGTATGAAGAATGATATGTGCCTGAGGCTGGTTCATGCGGCAGACCATGTCAAGGGAAGGTAGCGACTTGGGTGGCTGCCTTGGTAAACAGCTCGAGACGTCCGGGCCAAGGGAGTCAACCAAGAAATTGTACATATTTAGGTGAGGTCGTGGACTAAGGTAGCCTATTTTCGTCAGAGAAAAATTTTGTCAGTGAATCACTCGACAGCAGAGACGAGTTCTCAACGAAACACTGAGTGACGGGAATAGAATTTTCTGGAGGAAGTTTTTGTATTTTGGCATGGGGTTGGTAGTGGTACTTGCAGGTGTATTCTGGTGGTTTTGCAGGTGGTGACCACAGGCGTCTGCATGGGGGCAGGGTGGGACAGGAGCACCATGTCGGTGGTTCAGTGCGTTTGAAACTCCTTGGCCAATTGCCAGGGGGTATACATAACATCACGCATTGCTGTCTCGAGCCGACCCGGGAGAGGGGTGGAGCTGCCGATGCTTTTCAATAAGACATTGGGACTGACCCTGGGGAGATGCAATCGGTATTAATGGGTTGCCATGTACAGTCGCCAAAGGCTTTAGGGAATCGGAAGTTGACCGCGATCTGCCACTATGTGAACGTGTCCAGTAAGGGGTCTGCATCTGGCCTATGTGTTGCAATTGGACTGCCCCTTGAAGCGCAACCCAATCCCGGTATCAAAAAATTGTGCCCAGGGAGTTGACGCTGGATTTGGTTTTAACGGACAGGGGTGTCGCAGACTGCCCGCAATGGCTCACCAGACTCAGCCACAGTCGGAAAGGCAGCCATGGCTGGCAAAGCATGAATATGCTGTTTATTTGAGGCTGGGAAGAATGGCTTTGAGCGCCTGACAAGTTCCGTCACAGCTGCAATGGTGGCCTGCTGCTCCCTTCGTCACCGCCTTTGATGCGCTTTGTTTTGCCGGCAACCTGTAATCTAAGGAACTCAACACCACGGAGATTTGAAACCGCCAAATCTGCGTGTCGTTGGGATAGATCTGTTGCTGACGCGATGACACGTACATTCGCCATATCGCGCGGTGCTGTTACGGGGTGAGGCGATCGGATTTCACCTGCACAGTAACGTCGAAAGCATATCCCCACCACCCGCAAACTCCGTAGAACTCCGAAGAGCAAGGGCCTGAACGTTTGCAACGCCATGACGTCATTGTGGCTCGAATTGACAAATTTTGCCGCGATGATGTTGGGGCAGCGAGTGTGGCTTCACCAGGCCAGGGGTCGACGGACAAATCCATGCCATCCCTGTTCCCCATAGACGGCCCAATTGCCGACGACAGCCGACCAGCCTTCCTCCGCCCCGTGGGGAGCATGTCCGCCTCCCTCAGGCCCGCCGCCCACGCCAGCCCGGCACGACGTGCGCCGCTGCCACCTGCCGCCGCCTCCCCGCCCATCCCCCGCAGCCGTCGCCCAAGCCACGAGGTGCGTTCCCCCCTTCGATGCCCATCCGATCCCGATGACGAACTGGGTCCATTTAGGCGGGTGCCGAACCGATGTATGGGCTCACGTGGTCGGAGCTTGCCGGCGGCGCAGGCTGGCCACGGCGGGGATTGCCGTGCGCGATTGAATTTGCTCGCCGCATTGCTCGGGCTGACGGCCGCCGGGATCGCCGCAGCGGCGGTGCTGAGCGCACGGCCCGACTCCGCCGCGCGGATCTGCACGTCGCCAGAGGGCGGCGCCGCGGGGGTGGGATCAGGGAGTGAGGAGGTGAGGCTGTGTCGCCCGGGCGCCCCACGACGGCGCGTGTGTCCTCGTTTTGCGTCTGGCGCCTGCGTCCACAGGAACGGGGAGCAGTGTATGGTGGGGCGCAGGGTGAGCTGGATACCATGGTTATTATCAAATATATGGTGTGGCCGTATCGTACACTCGTCAAGAGGGCTCTCGTTGCGCCTGTCGTCGCGTGACGATGTGCGGTGTGTGGGGGCATATAAAACTGCGCGGGGCGCGGCCAGGGTTAGCAAGCAGTGCGCGTTGCCGAGACGAGCAGGCGGAGAAAGAAGCGGTTGAGAGAGGGCGGGCGAGATTGGTTTCGTGTTGGTGGCCCTGCGCCTCGTGACCGCGAGGTGCTGCACATATCTGTGCGCGCCCATCCGTTCCCCTGCAGCCTTCGCGGCGGCGAAAGTTCGAGAACGCACCCGTTTGGCGTGCGCTGCGGCTCCGAGGTGCGCAGCTGCTGCGACATGTCCTCTCCTTGCGTTGCAACAACGTGCACGTCCGGGGCCCGGGCGTGCGGCCTGGGAGTCTCCGTTGCCCAGGTCCGAGGGCGATGATGCCAGTGTCTTTGAGACGCTGCTTCGCGAGTAAGCGTTTTTCACCCTTTTCGGAGGAATTCTGCGGATGGCGGCGTTGTCCCGTGCCGTCCTCTGCTCATGTTTCATTCGATAGCCCGGGTGTGAGCCTTGGGAGCAACCAGCGGAATGAAGGGGGCGATTCATGAGGCTCTTACTATAAGAGTTGATGACTTGCGGACCGTGCGCAGTGGATCTGCTGCTCGACTGCCATTGGGAGAGGGCAAAAATGCAGGACAGCCACGGTTCCCTTATGTTCGAGGCCAAGGCACTGATCCTTGGACCCCTGAGCCCGTTGCACATTAAACCCGTAACCCCGCACGTGCTGCTCTGTCTTGCTGCTCCGGGGACTTTCGACCAGGTGCACTATTATTTATTGCTTGAAGAGAGTCTGCCAGCCTGTTTTCTTAGGAGAGGGTTGTGCATTGTGTGGCATGCGCCTTTGTGTATCGCGATAAATCTCTGAGCCTTGTGCAACTCTCCCAATGATGGTTTGTTGTTGCTTTGTCGTCCAGTGCGCAAGGCCAGGAGCTGCTCCGCTGGTGAAGGGACCTGCACAAACTTTCTCAATGGGGTCTCAGGTGTCCAAGGTCGCCAAGAAGATCCAAGCCAGTGCCCGGTCGGGCTGGGCGCCATCTGCAGGTGTGCAGGGGAGACCTGTTTGTTGGTCACTGCCCAGTGTTCTAGTCTATTAGATGGAACCAAGTTAGGCAGTGCCGATCATCGCGTTGGAAAGGCAAGAGGAAGAGGCAAAGGGAGAAAATGAAGGGGTTGTTGGGGTTGGGTGGGTTGTGGGGGCTGTACAGCA